TTAGTGTGTTCTCAGAATTGTATGATCATCACCACATTAAAACATTTTCATCACGCCTAAAAGAAACCACAAGACTATTAACAGTCAATCCCTGTTTCACTCCTTCTATCCTCATGCCTCACCCCTGCTCCCAACCTTAAGCAACCACTAATTTACTCTGTCTCCATAAATTCGTTTACTCTGGACATTTGACATAAAATGGAATCATACTATCTGTGGTCTTTTGTGACTGGCATCTTTCATTCAGCATGATGTTTTCAAGGGTCATCCGTGTTGTAGCATGTATCAGAACTTCATTCCATTTCATGGCTGCGTGATATTAAATTATATGGATACATTTTATTTGTCCGTTTATCAGTTGATGGACATTTGGGTTGTTTCTTTTGTTTATTATGAATAATAATGTTGCTGTGAAGACTCGTGGACATATGTTTTGTAAGGACATATGTTTTTATTCTCTTGTATATATACTTAGGAGTAGAATTGCCCAATTGTATGGTAACTGTAACCTTTTGAGGAACTGCTAAGATGTTTTCCAAAACAGCTATGCCATATTGTATTCTCCCCAGCAGCGTATGAGGGCTGCCATTTCTTCATCCTCCCCAGCACTTGTCATTGTTTGACTTTTTGATTACAGCCATCTCAGTATGTGTGAGGTGGTTTATCACGTTGTGGTTTTGATTTATTTTTCCCTAGTGACTAACAACATTGAGCATCTTTTCATGTGTTTATTGGTTGTGTGTCTTCTTTGGAGAAATGTCTGTTCCAATCCTTTGCCCATTTTTAGATTGGTGTGTCTTTTTATTGTTGAGTTGTAAGAGTTTTTTATTTATGTGAGAGTACTTCAAAAGGTTTGTGAAAAAATTGAATTAAAAGATAATACAAATTCTTCCTTGAACTTTTTGAAGGCCTCCGGTATTTTAGATACAAGTCCCTTATAAGTTACTTGAGTTGCAAATATTTTTTGACATTTGGAGGCCTTTTTATTTTCTTGATGGTGCTTTGAAGTAGAAATGGTTTTAAATTTGATGAATTCCAGTTTATCTATTTTTTCTTTTATTGCTTATGTATTTGGTGTTATATGAGTAAGAAACATTGCCTAACCCAAGATCATGAAGATTTACTCCTAGGTGTTTTTTTTTTTTTTTTTTTTAAATCTTTTTCATGTTGCCATATACCGTAAATCAAAAGCCCCCACCTTTAACCCAACTGAATCATTCTTTATTCCAATGAAAATCTATTGAGCATGTCTTAGCTATTGGGCACTATTCTAGAGACATTAGAGAGAAATAAGGCCTAAGATCCCTTGATCCATTTTTAGTTAATATTTATGTTTGTGTGAGATAGGGCTCCAGCTTCATTTTTTTGCATGTAGTTATTTGTCCCAGTACCATTTGTTGGAAAAACTATTTTTACCATTTAATTGTTTTGGCACCCTTGTTGAAAATATTTGTAGGTTCTCCCCACACCCCTGGCTACTCATGTGTTTCTATATGAATTCTAATTCTTATATGAAATAGCTTCTTGATGGTTTTCATTAGGATTGATGAAACTTGTTGTTGTTTTTAAATCTGTTGATATACTTCATGAATGTATACTTGATGTACCTGTCACCTCTTGATCTTTTAGACAGTTGAGATTTAACCAGGCTTTGCAGTACTCTAGAAGCTACCAGAAACCACTCTAAAGAAGCCAGCCTTAAGATGGCAGGGCATGTATTTTTCTTCTGTGTATCTGCCCTAGGAGAAATATACCTGAGTTTTCTGATGTGATAGGCAGTAAAAAAGACGGATGTTGTAGCATCCATCCATCAATGATTTGGGGCTACAGTATTTTGTGGTTACATTGAACTGAGACTTGCTATGATGAACTAAATGATTTGAGAATTGGTGATAATTGGTAGGAAGCAGGTCATTAGGAGAAATCATAAAAAAACATAGTCACCACGGTGTGACCAGGAATCTCTGAAAGTGAGGCTGAGCTGCCCCTCTGGTACAGGGTGAATCTGAAAGGTCTAGAGTAGTGCTATCCAGTAGAAATCCAGTGTGCATCTTCCTTGTGGTTTAGAAGGTTCTAGAAGCCATGTTAAAAAAAAGTAAAAAGAGGGCTTACCAGTTAGCTCAGCTGGTTAGAGTGCAATGTTATATAACACCATGGTCAAGGGTTCAGATTCTGGTACCAGCCAGCCACGCCCCCTCCAGTAAGAATCAAGTGAAATTAATTTTAATAATACAGTTTAACTCATGTACAAAGCACTTTAACATGTAATAAATATGCAATTATTAATTAAAATATATTACTCTTTTTTTTGTACTAAGTCTTAGAAAATCTAGTTTGTATTTTACACTTACAGCACGTCTCAATTTGGACTAGCCGTATTTCAGGTGCGCAGTTCCCACTTATGGCCATGGTTACTGTATTGTGCAGCATAGTTATAGATGTTTTGATAAAATAGCCAGTTGAAATATTGCATCAGCATTACTTGACCTCCTCTGTGCTTCAGGGCACCCTCTTTCATCCCTTTAACTTGGTAGAGCTGGCATTTGAGGAGCTTTCTGCTTGCCTGTTCAATGTGGTCCTCACTAGAGGGCTGAGAAGTGCCTGCTCACATAGCCATGTGGGCAGCTCAGCATTTTTGTAAAGGATAAGGAGACACACATTATGGATGAAGGTGGCCTAGCCTCTCAAGTGAGAAAGAAAATGGGCCGTGAAGATTAGAATCTCTTCTCCCTCATCACAGATACATCTACTGCACTGAGGTAAAGCTGTATAAAGAAAATACTCCTAGTGCGGTGGTTCTTGGTGGGCATGATTTTGCTTACCAGGGGACATTTGTCAATGTCCGGACGCATTTTTGATGGTCACAACTGGTTGGGGGGTGGGGGTGTGCTACTGACCTGTAGTGGCTGGAGGCCAGGGATGCAGCTAAGCATCCTACAATGCACTACAACAATGGATTATTTGGTCCAAATGTCAGTAGTGCTGAGCACAGTACTGCCCTGTGCTAATAGAACAAGACCCTCCATTTCTTTTCATTAAGTAGTTTCTACAGCGAATGCAATGTATTTTCTTTTAAATTCAGAGAATCTACTCATTTTTTCACATAAAATTTCCAAGTTAGGAAGAAACAGGCAACTTTCAAAGTATTTTTGATTGAGTGAATCTGTCAGATAGATTCCACCCACACCCACAAAGGATGGGTAGTTGGTGCCTTGCGGACACCTTCTCTCACTTTCTCTTCCCTCTGGGGAGGTGCAAAACTGTAGCAGTTCCTCTGTGGCCTCCCCCTCTTCTGAACTCTTTGGCCTGGGACCATTCTACTTTCATTAAGGGCATGTCTGTTAAAAAGAAAATGAGCATTTATTTGAAGGCTGCTCAAAAGATTATGGCTGTTCTATAAGGTCTGTTGGAATTTTTGGATGTACTGTGGAAATGGGTGTGTGTGTGTGTGTGTGTGTGTGTGTGATTATTCCTTTTCAGTGCTCCATCATCAGAAGAACAGTTAACTCTGAATGTTATCACCACCGCACTCCTCATGTCTATACTCAGGGAGCTGTAACTTTGAACGTTCATAAATTCTAGCAAGTAGCAATCAGTTCAAGTCATTTTTAGCTTATTGTCTTGCCAAAGTAGTCATACTTGCCAGTATTTGCCTTTAAGATGACTTTTGGTGTTTCTGCTGCCTTCCATCCCTCCCCTCTTTCTTTGACTGTGGGAGTTTGGATTTTTGTTGGCAAGCCACATACATTAGCTGTAGTTAAGTTAACTAAAGGGAATTCAGTAAAGGCTGTCTGATTTTGCAAGGATTTAGGGGTCCAGCTTAGAAAGGGGCAGTGGTCAGGCGCTGTCTCTTAATAGCAGCTAGGGATGAGCTTGTATCCCCATGACAGGTGACCTCCTCAGGGTTCTGGGGTTGGAGAGTGAAATTTGGTTATGTGCCCTGGGCTGTACTATAGTGAGGAGAGAAAGAATTTGGAATCAGCCTTCCATCTTGCACAGAGTAGCGTTGTCCCAATAGGAAATACTGGTACTTTTAGAAAGGGAGAATGTATTCTGGACAGGCAATACAAAACAAAACAAAACAAAACAATGGCAGTTGTGCACACATCAATGCCCTGGGATTCCCCTTGCTCACCAGAAGTAGAGGCACCCCCCCATTTCACCCTACTAATAGTGCCTGTGGGGAACACCTTCAGCAGCCACACATCTTTTCCCACCCTGCTTTTTATTCACATAGCTGTGGCCGCGTCAGGGAGAGCAGGGGTGGTCCCATTGATAGGACAGTCTTTTGAGACTTTGGGTTCATGTTGTCCCCATTGGGAAATGGTTAGAAACAGCAGCTAACTTTTATAGTAAAAGAATACTAAGCATCATTTAATCTTTCTGTGACAATTAGAAATGACCATTGCAAATCTTGGATTAGTATATGGATTGTATTGTATTTGACAGTGTTCTTGATAAGCACTATTGATAGATAACTGAATTCCTTAATGAGAATAACCATACTGTAGTCACACAGTATATATTCATCAGCTTTATGAGTTATCCTGGAAACCTAACTTATTCCTATATTTCTATCAGAAAGGAATTCTGATTTTCAAATAACAGAAAACAAACCCCTTTATAAGTTAAGGGCTACTTGCACCTATCTTTTTATAATCTCTATGGGATGTTTTCTAACTAATAAGGTTGTAGGTTATAGAATACACTTTCATTTCACTTAAATTTCATAACATTGTTAGGACTTAAGAAACATAGAAGCTCTGAATGAAAAGATGCCTGTAAAAATACTCCTTGGCTAATAAGAGTAGTTTTTATCTCCTGACCTGTATGTTGGAACATTACTTGAATTCAGCTAAAATGAGTGAAGTGACCTTACTTGTCATTTCTTCTTAGTGTCTAACAAGTTTTATTTTCCCCCATATTAAGAAACTTCCTAATGTGTCCATAGTGCAAGATTTACTTCTAAGTAAATAGGAATTTCCTTTCCATTGTTTCAGGCCGGAGCCTCAACAGAAAGCTCCTTTAGTTCCTCCTCCTCCACCACCACCACCACCACCGCCACCACCGCTGCCAGACCCCACGCCCCCAGAGCCAGAGGAGGAGATTCTAGGATCAGATGATGAAGAGCAAGAGGACCCTGCAGACTACTGCAAAGGTATGTGCCAAGCATGGCATTGCGGGGCTTGCCTTCCCACTGGGCCACCAGTCATTCGTTGGGGAAATGGACAAGGGGAGGTAGTGAAGCAAACTGCTGAGTCTTTATTAAATTAGCCTTTTTGTGTCAATATCATTTTAAATTCTTAGGTCATTGAACATAGAATTATACCTGAAAATGTTAAGAGATAGGAGAGAATTGTAAGAGATAGAATATATATATACTCCAGATACTTTCAAAAGGATTTGAATCTGATAGTATTAAATATAATATAAAGCAGGATAATTAAAGATAAAGACATAATAAACCATCTAAGGAGAGCACACTGAGTAGAAGGTACCAGGCTCCTGAGGGGAACTAATTATAACTGTTGTGCACTGCATTTGACTTCCAGTTTTCTGGCTGCTAAAGCTACAAGAAAACTGTTCCTTTCTCTGTATAGCATTGAATTACATGGTATTCATTGTCTGTGGAAAGAAAGCATGCACATTTGTTTATAGAGAGAGACTTTCCTGGCATTGTACTCAACGAAAAAAACATTCTGTGGGTTCTGCCGTTGTGTGACATAGTGGATTATGTTTTGAGCTATGATTCACAGAAGACATAGAAACTATTCAAGTGGGGTATTCTTATATTAGTGCTTTGTAATGACAAAGAACATATAGTTACACTCCTAAAGGAACAAGTATGTTGTATGTTGAATATTGAGAATAATATGATCTAGACACCATACTTTGTATAGGCTGCCTCTTTGTTACTTAACTTACTCATTTGGACTTTAGTTCCCTGGAATTCTAAGCTTCTGAGTAGTTGGCACTACAGATATTTAAAAATGTAAATCAGATACTACGTAAGAATAGATGGCAGAAGATGCACGCATGTTCATACCATAAAGCATCAATGAATCTTTGGGTCTATAGTATCTTAGTAATTCATCATTTTTGTAGTGGATGTAGGTCATTTGTGTGTTGGTTAAGTAACAGTGTACTTTTAGTTATCTGCTAAGAAAAAGAGGAAGTTATTTGCTACGAAACTTTAAGAACTAATCTTCCACTTTAACCTGATTCTTCCATAGGAGCAGGTACGTCCTCATCGAATCCATGTTTTCCTCAGAAAAGAGAATGTGAATCTTTTTTAGCGTTTGTCTAAATAGTGATTATGACCTCAAAGGTCTGTGCCATTTAGTAAAAGAAAAGATACAGTATGGAAGAAAAGAAGGTGTTTCCCATCTTCCCTCTTAATCTGCATTTCTTGGCTTGGAAATTAAGTTGTTTAAAGAGGAGATGTGGGTTACTGTCTTTCGATTTTGCTGCTTAGGCCAAAGCATTGGGTTGATCTGTAGGAACCATTCCTTAGGAGCTGTTTTCTTCAGCAAAGAGGCTCTACCATGCTGGAATGAAAATTATCTGCCTTACACCTGGCTTTTTAGTATATGGGTCAGAAGATGTAACCAATACTCTCAACCCCTTACCATCTCTGGGGACCAGCACAGTGGACATCCAAACCTCAAATGTAGGTCTGAGAAGAAAGGATTCCACAGGCAAGCTGATTCTAGGTAACATTCACTGAACTCTAACATCTTAGAGCAGTAAAGTCAGTCTCAGTAAGGCGTGTTAGAGATGGCAAGTTTTTTTCCTTACACATACACACACATACCCCTAAATTTGGTAAGTAACTTGTGCCTCTAAGTTAGCATTATATGTGACACATGCCATACTCTGTGAATTTTGTGGTACAGACCATAACATTTTATCTAAGATGACTGACATAAATATATTCAGGGAGTACAAGGAATTGATTTCGAATGTCTGGGATAAGAACTGTGGCCTTCTCCTTTTTTTATTCATAGATAGAAGAGGTAACTTTTCCCCCCAGAACTGGTTGAGCTTAAGTTACCAACATGGTGCTTTAATCGCCCCTGAATACTTCAGTATATTTACCTGCAGTAAGTACATTCTCCTATAGACAACAATACAACCGTCAGATCAGAACGTTAATGCTGATGTATTACTGCCTTTCAGTTCTCAGACTCCATTCAGGTTTTTCCAGTTGCCCAGTATTGCCCTTTATGTGAAATGGATCCATGGCAAAATCACACATTACATTTTGTTTCGTGTTTCCTTAATCTACTTTAATTCGGAACAGTTTCTCAGTATTTTCTTGGCATTTTTGAAGATTGCAGACCAATTATTTTGTATAGTGTTTCCCAATTTGGAATACCACAGAAGAGGTGCTTTGTTCTTCTCGTTGCATCCTGTCAGGGGGTGCGTGGTTTTGACTTATTCTATTAGAGTTGATGTCATCACTTAGTTAAGATGGTGTCTGCCAGATATCTCTGCTGTGCAGTTGCTCCGTTACTCTTTTCCCACTAGTAATTAATAAGTATTTTGTTGAGAGTTACTTTGAGACTGCATAAATGTCTCGTTCAGCATAACACACCCTCTGCCCCCATGGCTGGTGGTCTTTCTATTTCAGATGGACTCACTCATTCATGGATTTCCCTTTTTATTTAGTGGGTTATAATCAGTTACTCTCCTTATTTGTTTTAATGCTTGGATTATCTCAAATTTGGCCATTAGGAGCCCCTTCAGGTTGGTTCTGCGTCCTTTTGAAATGGGCCAATCATTCTTTGGACACTTCTTTACCTTCAAGTACAGTAAGATATTACAGGTTCATCTTGGGTTTCCTCTACCCCCGCCCTGGAATCAGCTCTTTTCACAAGGAGCCCTGGTTTCTTTTAAGTGAAGGACAGTGTTTAGAAAGCAAGATGTAGGCTTTAGGTAAGCTTATTACTAGTGGGGTGTCACTGTTTCCAGATTTTAGTACAGAGCTAAGGAGACACACACGTACACACTTCCTTTACATTTATATATATTTCTGTATTATGTACATATTGAAATCCATGAGTTTAATCTGATGTCTCTAATTCCACTCTAATACTGAAGGCTTCAGCACAGTTTTCTCCTTTCCATATTTGCTGTTTCTCTGATAGTAAAAAAGGTGCTTATCTTCTTCATTAAGTTTACTTAGTTGGTTAGTTTCCTTGGATGTAAAGAGTCAGCAGTTGCTGTCACTGCCATTTCTGTCATCTCTTCCCTCCCTCCTTCCCTAGCTTGTGCTCTGACATCCTCTGTTGCTTGGCCCTGTCTCATGGCTTTGGACTGAACTGTTCAGGAAGGGGAAAGGGGAGGGATGGCTTCCCCAGGCTGGGAGTAAGTTTTACCTAGTTTAATGTATCTTGCTTGTCTTCTGTCACTCCACCTGTTCCTCTTGTTTTCATTGATTTTATCCCTGGAGAACCTCTGCCTTGCCAACCACTTCTCAGTTCTCCAAAATACAGTAAAACATCAACAACAAGATACACCACCTATTATTTTTCTCTTTACAAAAGATGTTTGTTCATCATAGGAAATATAGACCCTTTGGGGTCAAGGGATGGAAGTCACTGGAACCCCATCATTCAGCAATAGCTGCAGCCAGCCTTTGGGTCACTGCCTTTCTTAATCATTCATGACCAACCAAATGATATCTTAACTTTTCACCTCCTTTTTACCTCCTTATCTTTACAAGTCTTCCCTTATTCAAAACTTGTGAAGCCTTAGTTGATTTAACACAAAAGTCACTATTTAAAGTTCTAGTATTGCTAGTTTAGTATTGTGCACTGTTTTTGTCTGCTTTCCTTGGCATCCTCTTTGGAGTGGGACTCTGCTTTCCTCTCTTCATAGCCAGCTTGTTCCTACCCTTCTGAATCTTAGCTCTCCAGGAGGATTATGGCCTGGTGTGTGAGAAACCCAGGTTCAAAACCTGGCTCTGTGCTTTCTCGCCCTGTGTCCTTGGACAAGTTCCTTTCCCTTTAGGCTTTGGTTTTTTCATCTGTGATATAATAATATCATATCTCTCTATAATACAATATAATATAATAAATTACCACCTAAGATTTTATGAGGATTAAAATGAGATATACATGTGAAGTGTGTGGCACACTACCTGGTACATAGAAGGTTCTTATATATGAATTTTATTTTCTTCCCCACTTCTGTTCCATTGTTTCTCTGGGATTTGTTCCCATCTGTAGTTTCATGCCATGCCTACTGAGGCTGGTCTCTTAGCTCTTTGACTGACCACTCTCGTGGGGGGGGGGGTTTCTTCCCCACTTCTGTTCCATTGTTTCTCTGGGATTTGTTCCCATCTGTAGTTTCATGCCATGCCTACTGAGGCTGGTCTCTTAGCTCTTTGACTGACCACTCTCGGGGGGGGGGGGGGTTTCCTCAGCCTCTGGAAAAGGAGCTGTCAGCGCTGCCTGTCATTTTACATGTCACCTCTGGCAAGCTGTCTGGGGCAGGAACTTTAGCAGGAGGCGGTGCAGTTTATTCAGATTATACTTCCAAACCCAGCAGGAATAACAAGGGTCAGGCACAGGTTCAGCCTGTGAACAGATGCTTTAGGAGGCCTGTGTAATACATGATTGCTTTGTGAGTTTGAGCATAAAGCCTCTGTGTTGTGGCCAAACCTCCTTCCGTGGGAGATTTTAGTCTTATTCGGGGATTTCAGAGTCACTAGGGGTCCTGGTAAATGTTCCTAGGCTGTACTGTACACTCCTGAGTTGGAATCCCTGGTTGGGGAACCTCGAACTCCCAAGTGTTTAAGGAGTTCATCGGGTGATTTTTCTGCACATTGAAGGCTATGGTTTGGTCATCTAAGGTATATACCATTCTTCCAAAACTCCAAAGCTACAACAAAGTGCCCTTCACTTCACTCCGCCTCACGTGCTATGTGAGTGACTCGTGGTGTAAGGGGAGTCATTGCTTTGAGCTACCTTACATTCCAAAGTTTTCCCAGAGCCCCCAGCACATACCTGCTACAGACACCGATTAAATGGTGACTATAAGAACATTGTTTATGTCGGGCTCCCTGCACTGACTGACTCCTCTGGGATTCCATTTTACAGCTCTCTTAAATCATTCTTGGATAAGTTGGCACTTATGTACAGTTTCATCATT